TGAGGCAACTTCGCCTGACAAAGATCAGCACGTCAAAGTTCAAACCTATTTGACCTACCAACCAATGGCAACCATTGAAACCGTCAGGTTGCAACTTCGCCCGTCCGTGCTCAGTGAATCAAGCCTAGACAACACGCCGACTAGTAGCGACTACCAAAAGTGTCCGCTACCTGGCCCGAGCTGGCTTCTTGAGTGAGAGGAGAGAGCGGTAACTAAGTCTTATGAATCATCTTTTTAGATTTATACCTCCTTAGACGAGAGAGCTTGCATGCGCGAGATAAGCGGTGGAGGAGAAAGGGGAGGAGAAGGAGAGAGGCAGAAACTGCCAGAAAGCCTGAGAAAGGCTCTCAATTTGGTGTCATTCGTGGTCAAACTGCGGTGTGCGGGAAGAAGTCACTCTCCACACAACGGTGCAATCTCTACTGCCGTGGAGCCAACCCAAGAAAGTGGAGGGAAAGAAGTGGGGGATTACAAGAGTCATAAGGGAGAGATCATGGCACATAAAGAGACAAAGATCAAGAAGGAAGTGGGAAGGAAAGAGGGTTCAGAGCAGGTAGAAGACACAGTCGTCAGGGAAAGATGCAGGGCGGTTAAGAGTGGGTCCTCAAAGTAAGTGTGTGTAAGCCGCGAAGAAAAGATGCCGCAGGCAGAATGCAAGAATCAAGAAAACAAGAGAAAGATACTGCCGGGAAAGGAGCTTAGAGGGTTGTGACCGAAAACTAGAGAGCGGGCACAAGCACGAGTTCAAAAGAGATATTTTGAAGTTCCTGGGCACGCTCGCTAAGGCGAAGAAAGATGAAGGTGTGAAAGGATAYTAAACACCTATCCTGTCCACRCTACTCAAACAAAAGGACAGTTTTTGTCAATTTTGAAGCTGCCAGTGCCTGCCACTTGAAAGGAGCTCAAAGCACGCRWCCAGTACACAGTGTCACACCTTTTGAATCAAAACCAAAAAGGATGTGCGCAGAGGATAGTGTGTCCTGGGGGCGAGTCCCACTTGGCAGGATCCTCCATTTCTGGCTCAGCCTGTTGATCTTCGTGATGTATGGTTAGAATTCGAGAGTTCGTGGAAGTGGGACTRGGGCCCCRGAAGAGAGAGAGCCATAATCTGGCGGTGTGGTACAAAGCCTGCGACTCTTAATAAAWAATTGTTATGATTCTGACAAAAAATATAATAACGCAATGGTCTTCTCCCCTTCTCGGAGCAACTCCAAGAAGAACCACTTCCTCAAAAACCACTTGTAGGCCTCAGGGCAAAGGTCATTGGCRCACTCCGGGACTCCCACCTGGTCTTGTTCCAGACCTGGTCTCACTTCGGCAAGACTAGGTTCCTTGCATGCAATTCCTTGATCGGTGCGTCAGGTATGTCAGAGCCACCCCATCTGTGTTCAAACCGGAACGCCCCAACGGCTTGTGCAGCAGCATCACGAGATGCTTGGGTSCTGGAGGGAGGTCGAAATATGACATGCCGTTGTGGGCGCAAAAACTGCAAGATGTGGAGCACGAGCTGCTGAGGTAGTTCCTCCCACTGCGATCCCCTGAAGATGTGGGCAAATTGCGCACAGGCAGTCTGGACGGGATCCCTCAGATATGAAGGGCGAAGTCGCAACTCGGCAACCATCTTATCGAAGCAACCCCGGTGCATCGCGCCTAGCACCAGTTCTCGCAATCGAGCTGCAATGGGAATCAAGCGCTCAATCTCGGACTTGCTGTGGTACTTGTACGACACTAAACTGACAGAAGACTTGTGAAGCTTCTGCAGAGATTTCATCACTTTCCAGTCCACGCTGTGTGGAGGGGTGGATCTTCTCTGTTTTGTACGAGATGTGAACATATCGTGATCACTGTCAAATAGCGCCTCCCGGTGCTCTTTGAAAGTCCTAGTACCTGTACCACGTCCTTCTCCTGCTTCTCCTCCTYSTYSTYCTYCYCCYYCTYCYCYYYYTYCTCCTYSTYSYCCYYCTYCTCCTCCTCCTCCTCCTCCWCCTCCTCCTCCTCCTCCTCCTTCAGATACGCAAAGTGCATTTAAGAACGATGTTTCCTTCAGCACAGTAGGGACATCATGGTGGGGCTTGTACCCCCCAGGTTGAAGGTTTTTTGTTAGCACTTTCACCTTTGAGATTTGCGGGTCATAGGACCTTGCAACATGTGAGATGAGCAACCCTGTGTCCCGGTCCCAGACATCTGCGGAGCAGCCTGATAGGTAAGCATCATCTGGGTAAGGTCCCTGCCAGAAGAACATTTGCAGTGGGAGATGTCGGCCGTCACTCCCAATCAAGTCAAAATCCAGTCTGTCTAGCCGCATCGCWTTWYTATYAAGAWYGCTGTAAGTGTTCCCATAATATAGTCTTCYGGTAAATCYCACCAGCTGGTTCTGAATGACTTCATCGCTCTCAGTCCCTGTCATGCATGGGTCGATTCCGAAGCGGCGGAAACACGTTTTTGAACCCAAAGAGTTTCTCCAGCTGNTTATCCCAAGATCGTGGATTCTCCTCATCCAACCAGGGGCTGAGAATGCAGCAGGTACATGGCTTCAGTCTGAGGACTCGGGGCACAGGTTCTTCTATATATTAGGCCCTGATTTGGTGTTTGGAATGAGAGCACAGGCTTGGTGCCTACCATTGGCTGCCAACCATAATGGCAAACTTAAGTTGGAATCAGAAGACTGTCAAGTGAGTTGCACCTCACATCTGGAGGAGGTGCGGGTACTGATGCAGACCCGGAGCCAGGGAAAGGTAGCCGCGACGCTGCTGGKAGGAGCCAACCAGTTCAAAGTGGAACCCCTCCTACTAGGATGGGAGGATGACGCTACGTACACTCCGCTTYTCTGCTACAAACCGAAAACAGGAGTGCAGGCACAGCGGGTATGTTTGAAGAACACACTGACCTCCCTGACCCTCAAACGAGCCGAGACACATCAGCTGGCTGGGGTAACAGAACAAGGACTTCACAATTTTTGGAAAGCTTTGACCAAGACTCAAGTACAAAGACAGGCGAGCATCATGTGGCTCCAATCTCTCTTGGTAACGGCAACAACAATGTGGTTAGCTACTAAGGGAATGGACATACCTACACTGTGTGTCTGAGATGTAACTGGGGTTGGGAAAACATGATACACATCTGGTTGTACTGTCCACTGGCTGATGAACTGCTGATTTGGTGGAAGAAGCACTGGGGCAATATCACTAATGGAATCCTGGATCGGACTGATGCGTGGATGCTGACAGGTCTCCTGGCGGCAGGTTTTACCTACTCTTCAGGATGGGGCTACATAGCACTATGCTGTAGAGGGGTGTTGATGGAGGTTATTTGGACGGCCAGGAATGCCAGCCTGAGGGTTTTCAGAGCTGAAGAACTGCCAACAAAACAGCAAACAGATTCTGGTTAAACAGCATATKCSTAGGATCATAAGGGCTGAGAGAACTGGCTAMTAACTGATAGCTGTGATTAATCAACTGAGCTACAATTAGAGCTGCCCTGTTMGGCTCGYTTTTGAATATTACATTGATGTAGCTTTTTTTGACTATYGTTCCATTGTACTCTGTGTCCTGTGGTTATAGTTTTGAGTAATCAGACAGGACAGAGTCACTTATGGGTTTGCTGGGCCAACGGTTCACTCCTTGGAACCTCACGTTCTTATAGGAAGGAGTTCTATGGTTAACTTGTAGAAACGGCAAATGCAAATGCAGCCCCTTTTTCTTGAGCKTCCMGCGTTATTTTTTGGAAAGTTCTCTGTTTTAGCTTGGGACGCTGGACCCGGTTTCCAGCTGTCGAAGMAATATACTTTGAGCATTAGGAGGATATCTGAGCACGGGCTCGTAAGCGAAACTGGCTGAGGCTGCCAGGGCCCAGGAGAACTCTGGCGGGTTGAATTGTGAGGTCCCCGACTTCGCCCCAGGCTTTTATGATAAAATTTTAAACCTTTCCCAAAAAAAAAAAAAAAAAAAAAAAAACCTAACCACAGCAAGCCCTAATCTAATCCGAATTTGTTTGTCAAAATGAGAACGAACTTCCCACGAGAACATGGCGAGATGCACCCTTCAATTTTTTGTCTTTTTCACGTTTCGAGAGTGGTGTGGCCGCCACTGTGGCGAGGCTCTAAGTGACTAAGTCCAATATCATAGAGAAAGAAACTCCACCATACGGACAAAACTAACAACTACCCTCTTCACCCGAATAGAACGCCCTACAAATGGGCCAAATGCAGCTACAATGACCGGCTGTTCTATTCGGGTGAAGACGGTAGTAATGATGGACTCGAACAAGAAGTAACAAAAGTCCTACGAGCGACAGCAAACCCCAAG